AGGGTTCTGTAAGAAATAGTTGGAGAGAAGGGCCTGGGAGTGAGACCAAGACAGGACAATGAGTGGCAGTGGAGGAGTTTGGACCAGTTCTTCCAAACCCTGGGGCTTCTGAAAGCTGTAGCATCACTGTATACATTGGGATGACTGCTTTCTTGGGATGCTGGGAGGACGCTGCCTCTGGGAGAGGGATGGGATTCAGATGACAGGCATTGATTAGGGCAGCAGAGGATGGAGAAGGGGAAACTAGAGGTGGGAGAACACTGGAGCCCAGTCTCATTTACAGCATCACTGAAGTCCCAAGACATAGAGCCACTAGCTTCCAGTTGGTCAGTGATCTGAGGCTCTGAGCAGCTGGGGTTTAGATTCTCATCTTGACTGGGGAACAACCAACTGGACCCTGCACTTTGTCTTTAGAATGCTGCCCTACTATGTGCACACAGTTTTGAGTCACTCTTGGTGGCCATGGTGACTAAAATCCATGTGGGTGGCCACGGGTCGTTTGCTCTTGCACTAATGCTTCTCATCTCTACCCAGGAGGTAGAAGGAAGGTAGAGTCACATGTGAACCCCAGGGGCCAGCATTGGCCAGCCTTGGTGATTCTCCCTTCTTCTTTCTGCTGCCACTCTTAGGGCTCCAACCCCAACCTGGCTCACAAGTAGGTGCCACCTGCCCTCTTCCAGAGTCCAGGTTTTCTGAGTTGCCCTTGCTCTAGGAGTCTACTTTTCTTCCCTGAGACTCCTCTCATTTCTGGGGAATCTCAGGGACTCCTTCCCTAAGCCCTAAAATAATTCCAAGGATGAATAGAGCACTGAGCAAAGTGTCAGGTGGGCATTTGCCCAATGTGGACAAGCCTCAAATGGGGGTCCTGGAGGATTCTCAGTAGTCCCTCACCCCCAAGTACTGGTAGGTTCCAGATCAGGAAAAGCAACAGTGAAACAAGCCTCAGAGGAGATGTTAGAGACTTCCAGAAAGGGGGAAGGGCTCAAAGGCAGCCTTCCAGCCTGCCCATGGCAGTGCCTGTTAGGTTTGGCTCTGGAAAGACCAGAACAGGAGGAGCTTCTGCCTGGCATAGTTTCAAACCTGTGATGGAAACACACTAAATTTTAAAGGATACACTTTGCCATGTGCAGAGCCAGAACTGACGTGAGGAAAGAGGCAGGAAGCTTATTGGTCACACGTTCCAGGAGCAGATGGTTTGGCTGTGAATACTGACTGTCTCCGATCATCTAGGCAGGTATGGGGACAGTTCTCAACTGACAGGAAGCAGACCCTCTGCTTCTCATGAGGACCTAGGGGTCCATGGGGTACATAGGCCGTCTAATCTATTTATTTACACTGCAGGAGCTTAATAAATGGTGTCACTGAAAATTAAGCAGTTGCCAACAGCAGTTAGATCAACTTCAAGCAAGAGAAAGTTGTTGGGTCTGTCCTGGGAGTAGGAGGCCAGGAGGGAAGGAGACAGTTTCCCAGGAACACCTGCTGTGGGCCTGTCCTCCAGCAGCTCCTATGTACATCTTTGGTATTCAGAACCAGTGTGTGCCACAGTCTAGGCAAGACCACACTCTACAACCTTACCCACTTGCCTATTCTCAGACAAGGAGCCTGATGTCCTGGCACTGGGTTTTGTATAATAAAGGTCTGCTGGTTTTGGGGTATAGCAGGTCAACCAATAGCCTCCCAGGTCCAGTACAGATGAAAAGTGGCCAGATTCCTGCCAGTTCTCAGCTGCCCCTGCTGTCTTGTACCTCTAAGCTTCTCTGTCTGTGAGCTCTATGCATGCTGCAATTCTCCCAGTCCCAGCTTGGCCACTCATGAGTTAGCAAGTTCTTGATGTTGCTACTCAACTAGCTGTATGTTAGCATCTGGTGATATGGTTGGAGATAGGCCAGGTAGATCTGTGACCTGGGCGGGTGGGGGCTCATCAGCCTGACAGATAAGTGGGGTGTGCACTAGCAAATGCAGTTTTGGTGGTAGAGTATGGTGGAGGATCAGGACAGGACAAGTCTCTGATGCTTTGATTGTGTAGCCCCATGCCCACATTCATCCAGGGTTCAGCTTTGCCATTTTAAGACTTGAGAATGAAAGCCTGTTTCTGGGACCCTGGGTTGTAGAACTCTGTCCTGCATGTGACTTTTGGGACCACCCACATTAGAGAGACCACTCCGGGAACTGATCTGGGGGCTCTGAGACGATTCAAAAGATCTTGGAGAGCTTGAGTAGGTGAATCCTGGTGGGTTCATGCTGAAACCTCTCCCCCACACCCCACTCTACCTGTCTCATATATGCAGATCCTATGTGTAACATAAGATGGAAGTCCCAGCACACCTTGGGGACAGGGGTCGGGCATCACCCACCTGTCTGTTCCATCTCATCAGAAACTTTCTTCCCACAGCAGGTGTGCCACCGTTTGCCAGTTATTTTAGTTTTCATGATTTTACACCAGTAGGATTTTACACTAACTTTCTGCCTCCAGAACCCTTCTGTACACATACCTGGGAACCTTCTTATAGCACACAAAAGACCCAACATTTCGGTGTTTAGGTTCTTGATAATCCATGTGCGTCTCACACCTCAACTCTGTGGTGCTGAGACTCTGGTTGCCCACATGTCACTCAGCATCTCTCCAGTTCAGGTTTCCTCCCAGCTCTGGATGAATGGGGTTTGAAGCTTAGCTGCTACCAGGCCCCTCAGGAGTGGGCTTCTCCTGTTCACTTAGCCACCCTTTCATTCATAAAAAAAAAAAAGTCTTTACTGGCAAAGACCACTGAGGTGTCACTTTGTGCCAGGCTTCATGCGGGAGGGGGGGCAGTGACAAAAGTGAATAGGGGATGGCATCTACTAGGGTTGGCAGGGTTCTTTGGGGATGGTTGAAAAGTGGATAGACAATGCTAATTGCACCCAAGTGGTGCATGCTGGGATGGGCTCAGCACAAGCTGTTGGGAACCAGGGAGTCTATCTATCTCTGTGGGTGGATGTGATAAGGGAAACCTTGGAGGAAGTGACCTTTATGCTAAGCCTGTGGGTCATACAGAGATGCAGCAGGCATAGGGAGGAAATAGGGGCTGACACGCTATGATTACACGAGGCCCTTCTGCAATCATAGCGTATGTCTGTGCCTGCATGGTGGAGACACTGAGGCATAGGAATGGGCCTCGATGGGCTGGATCACAAGGAGACCTTGTGTGCCATGCTAAGGAGCTTGCAGTTTATCCCCAAGCTCTAGGGAGCTATTGAAAAGAGGTTTTTAAGCAGGGAAACACCAGCCATGATCAGATTCGCGTGTTAAGGAGGCTCACCCAGGCAGCCTATGCACTGTGGATTGGAGGAGCCCAGGCTGGGGGCAGACAGATCAGTCCGGATTTCATGGGATTTTCTCTGTGGTTTTACAAATCTGAGGCTGGCAGGGGTGGGTCTGGCGACACACCAGCTTAGACAGAAAAGAAAGGCTCGGAGACCATCTGCAAAGGCTTCCCCGCTCAGCTGGATTCCACCATCATTTGCTGATGAGGACCTGTGTTCCCATACCTCTGTCATCCTGGAGGCTCTCAGAACTTAATCCGGAAGGCTCAGGCTGGTGAGATGGTCTCCTGGGCCCCCAGCCTCTTTGCAGCCTGGAATGCTGGGCCCCAGAGCCAAAACATTGTCTTTCTTCTCACACCCAGCAGGCCGTGTCTGTGCACAGAACAACCATTGAAGCGCTGCCCTAGCCATGTTAGTTACGGCCAGCGGCTTAGTCATGCTTCCAGGGTCCTTTCTTCTGGGACAAGCCTGTCCTTGTGCTCAGGGCCCTTCTCACACAGCAGCCCAGCTCGTGGCAGCTGCAGAGCCCCCCACCAACGCTAATAGCCACTTTAGAGATGCCGCCAATGGGAACCACAGCTTAACATGAACACTATGGCCTGGGCAGCGATGAGCACCATGCAAGTTTGCCCTGTGGATTTTCCCTCCTCCACACCAGCCCCTTGGTGCTACCCTGTCCTTAGGCGCCCTAGCAAGGAGTCCACCATACCCCACTTCCTCCCTTGGGCCTCTGTCTTAGTGAGAGTCAGTGACCAACCTCTGTAGAAGCTGCCCCCCAGGATATAGATCTTATCTTCACTGCATCACAGGGAGGCAGGTCCCTGTGTGTATTTACTAAGTGCCTTTAGTATGCACCTGCCTGTGTGGGACACACTTGTGCTATATTAAAGCTGTGTGTTTCAGGCTGGGCTGTGGAGCAGTTAAGAAAATGGATCTGGAGAGAGACTTTGGAACATTGGCTCTTGTGCTCCCCAGTTGTGTGGCTTCAGGAAATTACTTTTCCTTTGTTTTCCTCATCTGTGTAGTGGGGACATTACAGTATCTAGCTCATTAGATTGGGGAGAGTTAAATGAGATGACTGCATAACTCATTGAGCTGAGTGCCTGGGATTGCTGGGGAGTCAATGGAGGCCATGGTTGCTTGCGAAGCTCCTACTTATTGCTGCTGTCATTACTGGACCTTCATTGCTACTATCCAAAACAGTATCAACCTCATGTCACAAAGGAGGAAGCTAAAGCCCAGAGAGGTTCAGCAACTTCCCCAGTGTCACGCAGCTGGCCAGCAGAAGAGCTGGGATCTGAACATACTGTCCAGTATTCCTGACACATAGCTCACCCCTTTGTTAAATCAGTCATAGGGCTGGGGAATACCCTGGGCCAGGAAGCGGGGCAATGGACCCTATTGCATCCTAATGTTATTTCTCTACTTTCCTAGGTTCCTAAGAGTGGCAAGGGCAAGGAGAGTTGAGGGATGGGGGAGATGGTGATCCTTTGGCAGAAGCTACCAACACGGGGCTTGTGGATTTTGAAGAAAAGTGACTGTGACATTTGAAATCTGCAGGGACAGAAACACAGAACTGTGCTGACAGGTGTCAAGAGCCAGAATGTTGGGATGACACCTCTGGAAGCCCTGGCATCCCTCCTGCCCAGGTGCTAGGAGCCGTCCCCAGGCTCCAGCCGGGAGCCCTGCTGCCCAGGGGCATGGCCAAACCTTTCTTCAGACTCCAGAAGTTTCTCCGCAGAACACAGTTCCTGCTACTTTTCCTCACAGCTGCCTACCTGATGACTGGCAGTCTGCTGCTCCTGCAGAGAGCCAGAGTGACCCTCCCGCAGGCCTTCCGGTCTCCTGGCAGCCTACAGGCCTTGCCAGTGGCCACTGTGGCACTGGGTGTGGGCCTTCTGGATGGCAGGAACCTTCATGACCCCCATAGTAGCCCTGACCTAATACTTGATGTGGACACACTGAGGAGTCCTCTGGCCCGACTGCCACCTGGAATCCGCTGGCCCCGGAGGAACCGAAGCTCACTGAGGCGGCGCTGGCTCCACCACCTCACCAGTGACCCTCAGGTGCCACCCACCCTGGGCCCTGAGGCCCCTGGACCAGCGAGTCGCAGCCAAGGTAGGCGCTATGTTGCTGCCAAGAAACCTGCTCAGGGTTCCATGTATTGTCTCTTTTCTTGACCCTGTGGCAGCTGAGGGGTTCCATACTGTCACCTAGAGCTCAGACTTTGATTTTGACTCAGTCACACCTAGCTGGATGACCTTGACTTGTTTCTGGGTCCTTGAAGGTGGAGATAGAGACATTAATGTAAGATTAAGGTCTCTTTATTCTAGAAGACACCAAGGTAAAACACAGGCCAGAGCTAGGTTATAGAACCCAGCCAGTGCGGCCAGAACAAAAGGGGCCAGGGTCCCCACGTGCAGCCACTTAAGAAGCTCCCTTACGTCACCCCGGCTTTCCTTCACCACGCCCTTATGGGCGAGTCCCGGGTCCACCTGCTGCCTGTCAGGCGGGGCTAGGGTGTCTCCCTACACATTAACTCCAGGGTTATTGTGCAGATGTATTGGGGTGGCCTGGAACAGTGTGTCATGGGGTGTCAAGGGCACAGTCTCAGGTTCTGATACATCTAACAAAGCAGAATCTTTTTCTTAGGTTACCACCAGAAATCCCCTTACCTACTTAGACCAGTGGTTCACAGCTTCCCTAATGCTGTGATCCTTTAGTACAGTTCCTCATGTTGTGTTGACCCCAACATAAAATTATATTCATTGCTACTTTGTAACTATAATTTTGCCACTATTATGAATTACAAATATCTGATAAGCAAAGATATCTTGTAAATATCTGATAAGCAAGAGATTTGACCCCTGGGAAGGGATCACTACCCACAGGTCGAGAATTGCTGTTCTATGTCATCCTGGTACATTCCTAAGCCAAGAGCTACTTGTCAAGGGCACCTCACAAATTACTTGGCCTTCTAACTGGAAGCTGTTACTACTTTAGTAAAAGTGGCTCCTGTCTGTACAGTGTCACTCTTCTGTGAAGCCACTGTGTCTGGCACTATTATTTCCCCAATTTACAATGAAGAATTGAAGCATGAGAAAGTTAAGTGTATGGCCAAGGTTATTCTCATAGTTTGGGGTCTCTAGAAGCTAGCCCCAAAGCCAAAACTCAGATGCAGAATAGTTCTGGACAGTGACCTCAGGAAACCCTTGTTGGAGAGTAGCAAGGAAAACAGGCAGCCATCACGCTGCTGGAAGTCCCAAGTCAAGATAGTCCACTCTGGCCTGTTGTTCCTTGCACTGAGTACTATAGATTTTCTGTACACAGCCCAGGGTACATTCTGGCTGCCCTGGGAACATAAAGTTGTACCTGAATGAAACTGAGCTCAATCAGCTCTGATCATCCGTTATCACCTTATTTGGTCCTATGCCCTAACTCACCAGGTGCTCCTGTCCCTGAAATAATGTTCATGGATTGCTAAACATAGAGTTTTGAGCATAGTCTATAGAGTACCTAGCATAAGCAATAAGCATATCAGTGCATAGAGTACTTAGCATAGAGTACTAAGCATGGCACATAAGCATAGTATACAGAGTTCTTAGCCTAGAGTACTAAGTGGAAGTCTGTAGGAGGGGAAAAGGTAAGTGGGGCATCAGGCTCAAGGGAGGGAAGACATAAGAGAAAGTGCCAGACCTAACATTTGAACATTTGTGATGGAGGATGGGTGGATGGATGGATGGATGGATGGATGGATGGATGGATGGATGGATGGATCAATAGATCTATTTTGTGTTGCTGAAATTCAGATACCAGATCTTGGGATACTCACACATCCCACTGTTGAGTCACACCCCCAGCCCTTGATTTATTCTGAGAATGATAAGGGTCCAGAGGCATGAAAGGAGCCCCAGCTTATCTTCCTTGGGGAGATGACTCAGTGGGCCCAACAGACTGAAGACTAGAAAGCTGTGGGTTCTTGTCTCCAGGGAAGGATGGTTTCAGACACCATCCAGCTGATGTTCGTCACAGTGGGTTTTTGAGCATGGCCTGCCTGTAAGAGAAGACAGAGGGACTGGTGGCACAGCTCATTTTATATATGTGTGCTTTCTGTAATCTCTCCAATGCACCAAGAAACAGGGTCTTTATGCAGGCATTACTGGGGCAATTAATTTAGACTTAAGGTGCAAATGACCAGGAGAGGGCCCCATGGGTTTCTTGAGAGGAAGTTTTGTGAAGTGCTTACTTGCTGAAGACAGAGCTGAGTTCCTCCCTTGCTGTTGCCACTTCATGGCTCTGTGACCTTCAACAAATTGACCTGGAGTCTTCACTTCTTTGCATGCTCATTTATTGAAGGCCTACTGCATTAGTCCTCATATGTGTTTTGCATTGGGCTCTTGAGTGCTCTGTCTAGGGTGGAGTCAGCTCTGTGTTCAAATAATCACTGCACAGACTTACTGAAGGATGATTAAGGCATGGCATGGGGCTTGGGACAGAGCAGACATTTTATAGCTTATCTGCATAGAAGGGAACTGAAGGGCCTGGCTGTCTGGTTCTGGCCATGGATGTGTCCAAGAGAACCATATAGTTATGCCCAAAGACACAGTAGTGATGGAAGGGCTTCCATAAAAGCAGGAGAGATCACAGTTAGATGTAAGCAAGACAGTGATCAACTGCTATCCAAAAATATAGTTTGGGGTATGAATAAAGATGGCATACCTCCTTATCTGTTGATAGTCCCTGTCCCTGACCTCTGGAATGCCCCTGTTACCAAATAGAGAAAGGGTTAACTATGGCCACACCAGGGTAGCATCCAAAGTCCAGTCCTAGGGCTTGTCAGTGAGTTCTCAGAATGTTCAGTGGGTACCACTACTCCATGAGTGATGAAATATTCTGAATCTTCTGTAAGACTTTAAAGATAAAGTTAGTTTCCCCAAAGACTTTTAAAAAGGAGTGTCTGAGGGAGGTGTGGTGACACACTGGGAGTCATCAGAGAATGCGGAGGAAGGCAGAACGCTGACCTGGGAGCCCCTGCCCATGCCTCTGATAGGATTCTCTGGCCAAGCAGGTCTTCTTGGTCTAGAGAGTGGCCCACAGTGTAGCCCTCGGCCAGCTGCTGGGGCAGCAGACAAAGCAAGCATCTCTTTGCAGCCCAGGCATCCCGCCATCCCCTGAAAGGGATCCTGCAAGCCACGGAAGCTGCAGGAGTCTCCATCAATCACTGAGCATTTCATTATACCTTGGACAACATCCATAATGGAATAAAATGTCAGTAAGTTTACTAGGGGAAAAATAGTAACTTCTCCATAGCCAGTTTGTTTTTTATTGATAGTAATTTCCAAAGACATTCCAATATCTCCAAAGCCATCGTTAATAGCCTCACGACTTGTCCATTCCGATGTGCAAATGAACAGATGCAGAGTCACAGGCAGTAATGCATCGCCTTCATTTCAGCCCAAAGTAATAAATCCGCCTCAGGATTGTCCCAGTGCATCCCTCGAAAGTTCTTGCTTTTCTGCACATTCTTGCCTCTGTCAGGGATTTAGAAAAGACATTTGTTATGTTAAGTGACAAAGAACTCCTCTGCTCCCCCACAACCTGGAGGGGCCATCTGTGTCTCAAGCCCTGGCTTCACCCCAAGATGGGACTGCTGGGCCCAGAGGCATTGGGGGCGGGGCTTCCTCTGCATGTTGGTCAGACAGAGTCCAGCTGCTCAATACTCAGCCACATCTAGTTTCAGAATGCCAGCCTGGCTGTTGAAACCATTGCTTTCCTCTCTTCTACTAACAGGCTAATTTATTCAACTAATATTTACTGATCCATTGTCCCACTAGGTCCCAGGTTAGAGTATAGGATCAGAATAATAATAGATGTTATTTATTTGAACATCTGTTATGTATGGAGCATCATTTTTGTGTAGATGTCCATCTGTCATCTTGTTTAATTTAATCTTCAAAGAGCCCACTGATGTAAACAGTGCTCTCACCATTTTAACAATGAAGAATGGGAGTTCCAGGGAAGTAATTGAGAATTCTTCATTATTAAAAATGAGCTCTTAAAAATAAAATAGTCACTCCTGGGTATCTACATTCCAAGGTTTGTGTTAGACATTGGACATGTGTTGTCTTGTGGAATTCTCTCCGCCAGCTTCTGGAATTGGTACCGTGTCCCAGTTTGTAGATAGGGAGCCTACACCTTAGGGAGGGGTTTTTCACATCCCAGGTCACACAGCCCTGTCCTGATGGAGCAGGAATGCAAACCTCCACTATCCCATTCTTAGAAACAGGGATGCACCATTTTAGCATCCGCAGGTCTTCACCGGATGCTTTGTGCTTCGTTTTCAGCTACGGGGCTTGTGTTTGGAATGTTTAATCAAAAGCTGTGATGAACTTTTTTTCTTCTGTGCCAACCAACACATTGAAAATTTTTCAGACACTGCTTTTCTTTTACTAAGTAGGCAAACAGAGAATAATTCATGCCTGCTGCTCCAGGTGGGTGTTTTCTGCAGCCATATATGACG